CTACTGCAAAAGACTTTGCTCAGTTCTATTACTTTTGTACTGACACAGTCCACTGTAACAGGCCTGTACCTGAGGAGCTCATCCCTGCAACTACTACTACTGCTAAAGGGACTTTGCTCACTCCTAAACTACTTGTTACTAAACTTTAAAGAGAAGTCTGCTATCTGCTTTCAATCAGGAATCCATACTGTTTGAGTGATAAGTTCAGATGTTCTCAGTGTGAATAGTTCTAATTTTGGAGTATCCTACTACAATTCCCCATCCCTATCCCCAGTTCTACAATAAAATTCCAAAAACAAACCTCCTAAACTGGTTATTGAAGACCACGAGCAAACGTGTGTGTGTATTTGGCTGAAGAAATACACTGTGCCTGGCTGTGGGGTGAAGTAAGGGGAAACCAGGGCAAAAACACAAGCGGCCTTGTAGCCCCCTAACATGAGAATGCTACCAGTTTGATGTTTTTGACCACATATAAAAGTATAATACCAGTGTTCCCAAAGAACTCTTCCTGTAGACAGCATTAATGAAAAGCTTTCCCTACCGTATTTGCAGAAATCCTTCGTGCTTCCTCTGTCATAATCGGTGTAGCATTAGTGAACATACACTTTAACATTATTACATTTCTTTCTTTATATTGACCAATACAGTGCGGATTAAGGATGGAATTGAATGGTACCATGATTTGTTGAATACCTAAGAAGGTGGGCGGGGCTGCACAGACTATGATGCATACATCTAGGTGGACACTTGGTGGAAGTCATGCATGGCTTGACCTGGTATGTTATGTTGTTATATAAAGGATTAAACTGCCCACTCTTTTGGCTGCCAAAACCCTTCCAACTGTTTACTTGAGCTGCTTTGTTTCTAAGAAAATATTTCAAAAGATTTCAATAAGATAGGAAAGTTACAAAGGCAATCATTCTTAACCAGAGCTAAGTGGGACCCTATGATGTCTCTGAAGATTGCTAGGGGTTCCTTGAGCAGTTGACAGTGCTGGATCAATTTTACACCCAATGCTGCTTGCATAGCTCCAGTCCCAACATCGACAGGAGGCACTACACTGACCACCAGTGTAACAAGCCATTTCTTCCATTGTCTACCAATGTAAAGGGGTACCTCTCCTACTGATCACCACTGTAAGGGGGGTACCACTCCTGCTGACCATCAGTGTAAGAGGGTATCTCTTACTGACTACCAATGTAAGGGGGTACCTCTCCTGATGACCATTAGTATAAGGGGGTACCTTTCCTGCTGACCATCAGTGTAAGAGGGTACTGTAAGGGACCGCCTGACAGCACCTCTATCAGTCCCCCGGTAGAGCCTCCCCAGCGTGCGGAGTCTAAGCACCGGAGCACTTGTTCACCAGTGCCCCTGATGGTGGGATGGACTTGGAGCGCTACGGTACCAGGTCGCAACTACCAGGTATCTCCAACAGGGGTAGAGGAGTCTGACAGGGGCTCCAGAGAGCTAGGAGTCTGATGTAAGGGAGCCTAGTGATCCCTGCGGGGTGGATGGATGGATGAGCTAAATCAGAGTCATGCAGGCCGGGACGGTAACTAGAGAATCGGTAAGGTACAAAATGGTAGGCAAAGGATAGTCGGGTCACACGCAGGGTCAATACCAGGAGGTCAGATCTAAACGGGAACATCCGGGTGCAGAGTCAGGCAAGCCAAGGGGTCAGGACGGGACAAGGCAACAAGGTCAAAACAATCCAGATCAGAAGTACTCACACACAGGTAACAGGATACAAAGACCATTCGGCAACAAGTGTCTGTGCAGGGCTAGCTTAAATAGCCCGCCCTGCACCTGACAGGCGTAGCCTGGGTCCCAGTGCCTGCCTAGTACTGTCCAGACGACGGGTGCACCTGGGTCCTAGTGCCCTGCCACCTATACGTCTCGGCAGACACCTACGTATGTGTAGACTCATGCGTCGCGATGCTTCCTGACAGGTACTTTTCTTACTGACCACTAATGTAAGGGGGTACCTCTCATGCTGATTATATCAGTGGACGAGGGTACATTTCTTCCTGACCCCCAATGTAAGGGGGTACCTATCCTGCTGACCATCATTGTAAGAGGTACCTTTCTTACTGATCACCAATGTAAAGAAAAACGAGGAACACTTTTACACTGGCTGCAAATGTATAGGGGCACATTTTTTCTGACCTCCAGTTTAAAAGATACACGTTTCAACTGACTACCAATCTAATGGGGCATTTCCCAACTGACCACCAATGTGAAGAGGCACCTTTCTACCTTTAATATGATATATACACATTACACTGGTCATTGTAATGCACCATGAGCTGTAGATATACCCATTAGCAGTAAAGAGACCTTCTCTCCTCATTGGTAAAAATGTAGATGAAGATTGTATTAAGGAATAATAAATACATACACATTTCAAGTGCTTTTAATCTATGGAAATCAAGTATTTTTTTGTCTAACTTGTTCAGTTCCAATCATAATAAATGTGTAAATTCCTAACTTGGGATGGGAAATCTTTTGCATTGTTTTTGATTATATCATTTCCCTGGTTAGTTTACTGTTTATCTCTTGAGTTGTGCTGAACCAGATTTGATCTAATCAGAATGTTACAGCTCCTATACACCAAGGTAAATAGTTGCTAGTGCATTCTTTTATTACCTTACTCATGTTACAGATCAACACATTTCTGCGCTATGGTTCACTTGGCATACAAATATCATAGTTTGCATCTTATTCATAATTCCTTAGTGATTTTGATGCATCTCAATGCATATGAAAACCATACAAACGCTTCCCTGGAACATTTTAGTGTGTATAAATAAAATGTTCTAAATGAATGTAGAAATGCATTGTGAATTGCTGCAGATGTTTTTGCAGTATATGCAGATATTTTTCAGATTATTTGTACATCCACCTTAAGGGAGTCTAAATCAGTAGTGGACAAATTATTTTCCCAAGGGCCCACATGAAAAACTGGGACTGTTGTGGAAGGCCAAACCAAAGTTTAGTGTATAGTAAAAAACATTTTTATTAAACCAACAGCCTTAGGTAGACAAACCTGGGCTAGGAAGGCCCGCATGTATGTAAATATGTAGAAAACAAACATCTGGGTCTGGAAAAAATTGGGTACAACTGCTCATTAAATAGCGTGCACACTCACGATTATTAGAAGCAGTAGTGAAGAAATGTCCTTTGCTGATCTGCTGGTCATAACGTTGGTGTAGGGCAGGTAAAAGCAGTGAGGGAGCTGACAGGCATAATGAGTGATTAACTCCTCTGCCATTCTGATTGTCAATGTGTGACTGGTTCTGGGAGATAACTGGCAGAGCTGCAAGCACTGTTACTGGAAGGAGAGAGCCTGAGATCAGTAGAGTGGGGGCAGGGGCGGACTGACCATTTGGAAACTTGGGCACTGCCTGAGGGTCCGGGGTCAGTAGGGGGCCCCATGAGATGCCCCCTGGTACTTTTTTCATGGGCTTTTTTGAGTTTGGGCAAGGACACAGGGGCCCCATGATCCCCTATTGCCAGGGGGCACCATGAGTTGTCAGCCCGCCCCTGAGTGGGGATTTCTTACAAATTATGACCTGAAGCGAAGACCAAGTGCACAGCTTCTAGGGACTGCAGCGTGCAGTCGTTAACATAGGAAGAACTTGAACCGGTAGCAGAGTGACATGAAAGAATTGAGATGTCTCCTAGGCAATGCTCTCCTGCCAGAACTGAGCCTCTCCACTGTACTGATCAGCTCCTCGGGGTCTTTCCTTCCAGATATTGCAGCTCTCCTCATGGACATCTGTCACATGCCTTTCTGAAAAGCATGAAAACAGTGGAGGCATCGTGAGCCAGACAGAAACCGCCAAAGAGCTGGATGTGGCTGGGGGAGCTCAATTTGCCCAGGTCTGGTCTAAATTCTATTACGTATTATTGCCAAATCAAGACTGGTAAATATTTGCCTAGCTTGGTTTCATACAGAAAAATGGGCTGGCATATTTTTTTTTTTTCATAAACCTTTTTATTGGTGCTTGATGATAGATAATGCATGTTACAGTATATACAGTAAAGCGTTAAAATCCGATATATTAGTGTAGAAATAACATATTGTCAAAAACGATAGATAAAACAGGGTGAGAACAGCCCCAATTCAAAACAAATTGGGACACTGTGTAAAATGTACATAAAAACAAAATGCAATGATGAATTGCAAATCTCATAAACCCATATGTTATTCGCAATAGAAACAGAAAACATATTGAATATTTAAACTGAGAAAATGTACCATTTAAATGGCTTGTAGACCACCTAATATACTAGTACTGCGGTATAGCAGCTTCTTGGCGCTTGATCATGTATCTAGTGCGTGATCTGTGCCTGCACAGCCGGACCTGTTGTGATGTGATTCGTTACAGCAGTGGGCAGGGGCGGACTGACTATTTGGAAACTCGGGCACTGTCTGAGGGCCCTGGGTCAGTAGGGGGCCCCATGAGATGCCCCCTGGCACCTTTTTCCATACGCTTTTTTTGGAGTTTGGGCAAAGGTATACAGGGGCCCCATGAGTTGTCAGTCCGCCCCTGGCAGTGGTCACGGTGCCAATAATTGACTGTCAGGACACGCTGATTGGCTCAGAGCTCTGTTCACTACAGGGGATCTTGGGCCCCATGAGATGCCCCTGGTACCTTTTTCTTAGGCTTTTTTAGTTTGGGCAAGGACACAGGGGCCCCATGTGCATCCCCTGTTGCCCAGGGGCCCCATGAGTTGTCAGTCCGCCCCTGGCTGTGGGTCACGGCCAATAATTGACTGTCAGGACCCGCTGATTGGCTCAGAGCTCTGTTCACTGACAGGGGATCTTGGTGTTTTTTATTTCCTGTTAAGATCCTTATTAAAAGTAGCACATATTATACACATTACACTTAGTTAGGCACACATTTAACTCCTTGATCGCCCTAGATGTTAATCCCTTCCTACCCAGTGTCATTAGTACAGTGACAGTGCATATTATTCGCACTGATCGCTGTAAAAAAGCGGAGCTCCACCCAAAAGGGGAAGTTCCGCTTTAAGGACTGCTCCCCCCGCTCCCCATTAAAGATTGGCACCTTTGGGGGGTGGGGGGAGCGGGTACCCAAAATTGACAGGTACCTGCTCCCACTTTCCGGTTCGATCGCCTGTGGGGTCAAAATGATCACAAGAATAATGAGCAAAAACAATCCCAGACACGGGGGGGGGGGGGGGGGGGGGAATGACCCTAGTGAATGACCTGCAGAGAGCTGGGACCAACGTAACAAAGATCCAGAAGAGGATTGGGCAGAATTGTCATATGCGATCAGAAACAGAAGGTGTCCTCCCTTCCTCCCTTCCTGTAGTCTTTTGGGACACGTGACAGGTCCCAGAAGACTACAGGACCATTCATGAAGCTCAGCGCTACTCGTGCATGCACAGTGGGTACCCGGTTGTGAAGCCGCAAGCAATCACAGCCGGTGTGGGAGAACCCACACTGAAGATGCCCGGCCTTCTGGAATACAGGATGGCTGGTGAAACGGGCTGCGGGGACACACCACGGGACAGAGGGACAGGTAAATGGCTGTTTTTTAAAAGTCAGCAGCTACAGTTTTTGTATAGGAACCTAAGCAGACCAGTTGCTGGAGTTTTAGGAGAAAACTGATGTTCTATTCTTGCCTGATATGGGATTCTAACTGGTCAATGGTCCTGGGTCTTTTTTTTCTATTCTTGCCTGATATGGGATTCTAACTGTCATATTTTTGTGTTTCAAGATGCACCAAGTATTTTCCATTAGTAAAAGGTCTGGGTTCCAGTCAGGCCATTTATTCACCTGGACTTTTCTACTCAGAAGCCATACTGTTGTCAAAGATGCAGTATGCGGTTTAGCGGTTCAGTCCTGCTGAAACATGCAAGGATTTCCCTAAAAAGGAGGTGTCTGGATGAGAGCATAGGCTGCTCTAAACCTGGATATTTTTTTCAGTATTGATGATGCCTTTCCAGATTTGCAAGTTACCCTTTCCATATGCACTAATTCACACCTATATCACCAGATATGCAGGCTTTTCAACTGATGTTAAAATGTCCCTTTCCTCTTTTTAGTCATTGGGACATGGTGCCCCATGAATGTCAAATTTTTCGATTTGTGTGAATCACAGAATAGTTTTCTTCTGCTTTGCAACAGACCATTTTAAATGGACTTTGGCCCAGAATAGTGGTAGTATATTTCTGGATCATGGTCAGAAATGGCTTCTTTGCATGAGAGAGCTTTAACTTGCATTTTTGGATGGCACAGTGTTCACGGCACGTGATTTTTTTGAAAGTGGTCTTAAGCCCATGCAGTGATGTCCATCACAGAGTCATGCCTGGTTTCAACGCAGTACCTGGCATCCAATACTGTGTTTCGACCTTGTCATTTACGTACAGAGATTTCTCGAGTACCTTTTAACCTTTTGATGATAATATGTACTGTAGATGATGATATATTTAAAGTGTTTGACGTTTTACATTAAGGGAAACTGTATTCTGAAAATCTTCAACAATTTTTTAGATGCAGCTTTTCACAGGTTGGTGAACTTCTGCCCATCACTACGTCTGCACACTCTGACTCTCTAGGATGCGCTTTTTATACCCAATCATGTTACTGACCTGTTGTCAATTAACCTAATTAGCTGCATAATGTTCTTCCAGCTCTTTCTTGTTAGTATTACTTTCTTTGACAGCTTTTTGTTGCCTTGTCCCAACTTCTTTGAGACATGTTGCTTCCATCAATTTCAAAAGTACCCTGTTTTTTTCTTAAAATTATATATTTTTCTCAGTTTAAATATTTGATATGTTTTCTATTTCCTATTGTGAGTTAAAATTAGTTTATTAGATTTGCATTCTCTTTTATGTTGATTTTAAATAGCGGCCTAATTTTGTAAAAAAGTTGGGATTATAGTACCCTTGCTTGAAATCTTAGAACCAGTTTTTTTGTTTCTTCTTTGTTTATTTCTACTTCATGGTGAATTAATCTAGAAAGTCTTTATAATGGAGTAATGTGTCAATATACTTTTGCATGCCAGCAGGAAAAATTGGAACACATTAGTAAAATTGGACACATGGGCATAGTCAGTAGGTCAGTTCTCACAAATTTATATCTCAGAAATGTTTAATAGTGGAACAAACCTCATACCTAAATCAGTTCAGGTCACAAAGATGTAATGAGATTGTATTCCTCTTGGAAACCTGTGTACTTGGGGATCTTTTCATGTACAGAATTACACATGGAAATGTGTGCAGGTATAGGATTCTGTCGGTAAACAAATATACATGTAGAGAGAAATGTGTATGTACAAATCTAAAACGTGTGGTTTGTAAAAAGAGATAGTTGGGTTCACAAGCACTCGGAGTGCCTTTGTTAGTCTTGAGGAATTCCCTTCACAATAGTTGTACTGCTTGTTTAGCATTATATAAACCAAAAGGAATTTTTAGCTAGCTTCATTTTTTTCTAACGGTTTCCATTTAAAATGTAACAGATATTACTTGTATTGAGGCATTGAAAATTGTTTCTCTTTCTGTATGTTTCTACTTTTTCTTCCTTCCACTATGATTATAGAATACTCTAGAAGACAGGGGGAAGTAACAGAGCAGCAGCCCTAATTAATCAGCCTCCGCTCCTCTGATTACAGTGGAGCCAACTAAATTTACCAAGCAGCCTACTCTACTCTAGGAGGGAGCTACATAAAAAAATTAAAAATGTGTTTGGCTAGGTCTTTGTATTGTATATCAGTGCTTAGGAGATTTTGGAACACTCCTAAATAGACATGCATAACTACCCAAATCAACTGGTGCAACATTGGCTGAGAGTGTTGTGAGACAGTGTACAGAAGGTTCTTCTGACTAGGACCTAAAAAAGATGTGCATGCAATACTTCACATGATCACACCCTGCCGTGACAGTTGCTTTAGTGAGATTATCATTACATGTTATAAGTAAGGCAACTGAGATGGGTGGGGTAGAATGGCCATGTTGATGTAAATGTAAGATGGGTTTAGTTACAGTTTTGCTGGCCATCTGTTGTGGATATCTCTAGGTGAGGTCATGTGCTACAGAGGAGTTGTGTTACCTGTTGCATCAAAGTGTTTCTCGGTATGGTTGTATTAGATTTAGATTACCACCTATTTTGATAGTCTATACCCTTTAACAGATTCAAGCAATTTAGGTAATATCTTTAAAATATCATATGTCTCTGGTCAGCCTGCTTGTTATCTTTCTCCACCAAGAATGTTAAAAGATTTTTCAACTATGTGATATTCATTATTTTTTCTCTGCCAGGCCACAGCTGCAATTTGTACTCTTACTACATGGAAATGTAGCGCCACCCCCCCAAAGGAGCCGCTTCTATGTTTTCCATGGGCTCCCCTTGCTTTGCCTGGTGCAGTATGTTTCTTCTGCCAAATACACACACAAACACACACACTTCCATTCATTGTCTTAAATGACCAGTGTAGGATATGTTTTGTTTTTTGGAGTTTTATTGTAGAACTGGGGATAGGGAATTGTAGTAGGAAACTCCAAAATCAGAACTATTCACACTGAGGACATCTAGCTGATCTCTTAGTTAAACACCTATGAAGTCTTGGCTGACAGTAGATAGCAGACTTTCCTTTACTTTGTAGCAACAAGTAGTTTAGGAGTGAGCAAAGTCCTTTTTTGCAGTAGTAGTAGTTACAGGGTTGAGCTAAGCCAGTTACGACAGACTGCGTCAGCCCAAAGGTAAAGTAGCTGAGCAAAGTCCCTTTGAAGAAGCAACAATTGGACAAACTCTTCAGAACACTAGCCAGTGTTTCCTTTCCTTTTTAGACCCACACTGACTATCAAGCACCAGAGGGGTAGAAAGTACACAATGTCCCCTAGATCTTTCAGAGTCTGTATTCACAAGTCCAAAGACAGAATGATTGCCTCCTTCTAATCTTCCAAGCGACTCTCTCCAGTGATACCAGACAGATCTTTGGCAGACAGCTCCCCTCAGTCAGTTACTGAAGAACCAGGATCACTCTCGCTACCTTCAGGCCCTTAGGCTGACCCACCTGAGGCCACATGGCAGCAATTGCCAGGCAAGGCAGCCTGCCTCCAGCCTGCCTTGGTGCAATCTACTCCCGGGACAGACATTGAACCCATGTGCTACCATAATATAAATACCACTCCCAGCATTCAGTAGGGAAACCCTCCTCTGCAATTGGCCAGGACTGTATCCATATTCATTCTGTACGTTTGCCTAGCCCCTATCCATGTTCTGGAAAGCTCTCATAGCTTCCTGAAGGCGGGCGGAAATACCACACTGAATTTACCCGACAGCCTCTCTGGTAAGCAGAGAAACACAGCTATGCTTAACCTAACTATATATATCCTAGCACCTAACTAGGAGGGTGCTACAGACATGATCCAAGTAAATAGAATAAAATACATTGCATACATCTTATATCTATACCTAGTTTGAATGATATTATTTAAACTGATAGAATAATTTGTACTTATGCTTTCGTGCAACCTAAAAAAGAAAAAAAAACAGTGTTGGTACAATAGTCATATACTGCACAAAACCAGTAACAGAACTATTTGTTCTGTGTGAGTTATGTTTCTAAAGCCTACCTCTAGCCAATTTTTTTTCTTTTAGCTTTTGATAGTGATGAAGTATTAGAACCCCAATCACGTTAAAACCTTAGTTTCCTAAATGCTGTTTGCATCCCTGTTGAGAAAGGAAGTAAAGGTAAAGTTCTCAAATAGAAGTACAGCCAACAATAAAACCTGAAATAGGTTCTGACCCTATCATAAAATGTGTTTTAGTTGCAGTACCTGTCCGTTAGAGAGCTCTCCCCTCACTTGTGCTAAAGACAGAGGAGATCTCCCTAGCTAGGACATAGAGAGCAGTAAAAAAGCTCAACGGAAATTCTAATCATTTTCACTCCAGAAAAATATAACAAGTGTTTGCTGCAAATGGGCATTAACCATTAAAACTAGTGGTTGTGTATTTTCACAGTTACTGGCCTATTGATTTGCCCATCACTGGCATTAATACATAAAGTGATATGTTTTTAGGATAATGAACAAGGCTTTCCTTTGCTACAATTGTTTTTCAAAAATAATTTTAATTTGTGTGTGTTTTAGGGATAAAATGGTAAAAATAAATGTTCTTCCTCCAATTTTGATGGGAATTTTTCCAAAGCAACTACAAGTGCAATTTGTATTCTGTGGTTTGTTACTTAGCAGGGAAAGCAACAGGTTTGCTTTAATGCCTTCCAGTCAAGCAACACATACTCTGTTCACGCTCTTTCTTACAATTCCATTCAACTGCTGAGATTGAAGAAAATGCTTGGTTTTCCAAATATGGTGCAGCATGTGACTTCATGTGACAGTGTTGGTGCTTGGAGATTGGCCCTGTGCTGTCACATGGGTGTGGAGGAGCTCTTGGTCCTGTATTAGCTTCTACTAGAGTGACCCAGAGCTTTCCCAAGGCTGTCTGTTTTTCTTTGTGCCCTGTGGCTAAACAGTGTGACAGGGGAATCAGTGAAATTAATTAGGTGCTGCTGGGAAAGGGGCATTAAAGTG